GAATTGAAATATAAAAATTATGAAGGTGTAGAAGCATTAACATAAATTTAATTCTGAAAAAATAAGCATTGCTTCTTAATCAAATTAAATATTTAAGATATATTCACCACTTTTTTTTTAATTTAATTTTATTTTATTTGAGAACATACTGTACAGAGGGGTTACAATTACATGGGCAGGATAATGCATACATTTCTTACCAAGCATTGCAGCCTCCTCCTTTGTTTACCCTTGACCTCCCTTCCCAGCCTCCCCCCTCCCCCCCACCCAATCATACCCCCCCCCACACCAACATTGTAAAGCTGGTTTTGACATGACATTTTGTACTTCTCATTGTTGCAACAGGTCCACCTGAATCCTTAAACGACTTGTTTGTCCCCATCTCCTTCACCACTTTTTTTTTTCTTTTTTTTTTTTAATTTTTTTTTTTAATTTTATTTTATTTTATTCGAGAACATACTGTACAGAGGGGTTACAATTACATGGGCAGGATAATGCATACATTTCTTACCAAGCATTGCAGCCTCCTCCTTTGTTTACCCTTCACCTCCCTTCCCACCCTCCCCCCTCCCCCCCACCCAATCAAACCCCCACTCCCCCCCCCCCCACTCCGACATTGTAAAGCTGGTTTTGACATGACATTTTGTACTTCTCATTGTTGCAACAGATCCACCTGAATCCTTAAACGACTTGTTTGTCCCCATCTCCTTCACCACTTTTTTTTGTCAGTTGTGGAGCTTGAACTCTGGGCCTGGAGGCTGTCCCTGTGCTCTTCAGCTCAAGGCAAGCACTCTACCACTTGAACCACAGCACCACTTCTGGTTTTCTGGTGGTTAATTGGAGATGAGTCTCATGGACTTTCTTGGCCTGGGCTGGCTTTGAACCTCAGTCCTCAGATCTCAGCCTCCTGAGTAGCTAGGATTATAGCATGAGCCACCAGTGCCTGGCTACTCACCACTTTTTTTTTGGTCAGTCCTGGGGCTTGAACTCTGGGCCTAGGCATAGATTTTTTTTAAAAAATCCATTTTAAACCAATTACATATCTCTATTCTCTTACTATAGAATAACTTTTAATATTTATATTATTGCATTAAATAAACTATAAAAAGTCACGAAATAGAGTGCTCCCTGATAGTCCTTGCCCTTTAATACATTTTTATTGGAGTTAAATGTTTATAGTCCCATGGTTTAGCTTAAAGAAGTCTAAGCATGTCTATTTTGAAATTGTCCTCACCAATTTGTAAGACTTCTTATTTTAAGGAAAATATTATTTTTTGTGTTCTATAATTCCTTGTTTTAGCTAGACTTGATGACTTTTGTGCACATACAGAGAATTTATTAAGATGAATTTTGGGGCCATTGATGGCTCAACACCTGTAATCCTAGCTACTCAGGAAGCTGAGATCTGAAGATCACAGTTCAAAGCTAGCCCTGGCAAGGAAAGTCCAATAGACTCTTACATACAGTAAACCACCAGAAAGCAAGAAGTGGCACTGTGTCTCAAGTGGTAGAGCACTCGCCTTGAGCTGAAGAGCTCAGAGATAGCACCCAGGCTCAGAGTTCAATCCCCACAACTGACAAAAAAAAAAAAAAGATGAATTTTGGAGCATTAAATTTTAGCTATAGAAATACCACTCTATGTCTTATACTTGTTCTCTTGAGCCACTTTATTTTGAGCTGTGGCATGTAAAAGCATTACATTTATAGCCCAACTACAGTACAAAGTAACAAGAGAATAATGGTAAATATATGAAGAGAATACAATACCAAAACAGAAGCTTCTATAGGATTTTGTCAGGAAATTTTAAAAGCCTGAAAAGCAAAATTATTAAGGCTGCATTGAAAAAGGTACTTCACCTAATAGAGTAGTTAATTGACCTACTTAATGAGCTGGAAAATAGATTATGTTGGAATAGAGGCACTTAATGAAGCCACCCTAGAAATGCTCTACATTGTACAAAATCCTTGGCAACCAAACCATTGTCAAATTGCTCAGCATTATATAGTTATTTATCTTCCTTTGTAGAATGGATGAAAGCTGTAGTTCAAGCAGATGTTAAATTAGGTTCTAGATAAGAAAAGTACATTATAGGGCCTTTATTCCAAACTTTGCCCATAATAACACTTGTAAAAGTTCAGTTCTATGGCCTTTTAAACTTTATTCAGTACTTTATTATGTATACGAGAAAAGATAAATGTATCATGAAAATGTAATTGTAATATCAATCTTATTTGTAAACTTTGGTGTTTTTTAAAAAATTCAACTAATCATAGCCTTTAAGAAATTGAATAGCTAGCCATTAATTTAGTAATTAATTTTGAAATGATCGAGGTAATTAAGTTTTCCATGTTTTTTCTCTATGCCACCTAGGTAGTGGTAAAAATAAAGTGCTCTAAAAACTAAAAGGGGAACTTAATCCTACTTGCTTATAACAGTTAAGAGATAAAAATCTTTTAAAGTTTATATTTTAGGGCATCTAATGACAATTAGCTTTAGTTTCAGAACAAAAGAAAAACCATCTCAATCTGTACTTAAGGGTAGTTACCTCTCTCAGGCTGTCCACTGTTAATCTGTTGGCATATAGGTGTCATCTGAGATTGAATTAATTCTAGACCTAGGCTGGTACATAACTAGAGAAAAGGTAGAGCTGAAGTAATCAACCTTATTTAATCTTATTCAATTTTATTCAATCATTAAATAACATATTAAAGGATGGGAAAGGAGAGAGAGGAGGAGGAGGAAGAAGAAGAAAATGGAGAGGAGGAGGAAAAGAGAAGAATGGAGAGAGAGAAAGAGAGAAAAGTCAGCAATAGAAAGAACCAGAGAGAGAAAGAGAAACAGACAGAGACAGAAAGACTGATTTTTGGCCAGGCTCTGTTTTTAAATGCCATTATAGGCTATGTTTTCAATATTCCTCAATCCAGGCATTAGAATGAACTAGAAAGCATTGTCTTTCTCCATGAATGAAACCTGTACTATGGTAACAAAAGGGAGATTTAAATTAGCATAAAGTGCTTGTCACTATTGAATAAATATTTTAAAACATTAAATTGGTAACTCTCTCCTATATCTATAACCTAAGAAAAAATATTTTTCTTGCCAGATATACTCCATATTTTTTAGCATTCCAAATAATTTTCTTTCTTTAAAAAAAATCAAGTCTTTCATTTATGAGAATCTGCATTCACAAATAAAAAGCTTCCTAAGGCCACATTTAAAAAAAAAGCTTGGTCAGGAAGTGATGTCAGTTTGTTCCTGGAATTATGACATAGTGAACATTCTTTTACACTAACAGCGCATTTCATTTCAAGGCCTGACTGAAGCAGTTGGCTCTTAAGTATTCTCCTTCTTGACCGTCAAAAGATTCATTTTTCTTCTGATTTTTTGTCAAGATGTTCAAGATCCAGACAACTAGAGAGGTACAGAATATGTTGTCACTCAGTGCCGTCCATATTTTAACATGGGAACTATATTAAACTATATTAACCAAACTTTAAGATGTTTGGTTTAGTGTCTAAGAGTTAACATGATTAGTATCTGAGATAATTAAGGTAAATTTCTATGATCTTAACCTCTTTTTGTTGTTGTTTTGGTCAGTACTAGCAGTTGGAGCTCTGGGCCTGGTGGTTGCTAGGGTAGGGGGTGATACCACTGAACCACCCCTCTACCTCTGTTTTTCAATGGTTATTTTTAGGATAACACTGGTACTTGCCTGAATAGAGATTCACTTACTTTTAAACTTCCCTTGGCCACTGGGATCAAAGACCTTTGCCACTGTGTTCATCTTCCCTCCTATGAAAATGGAATCTCAGAGTTTTGTGACAGTTGCAAACCAAACCTCCCAGTTTCAGCCTCTAATGTAATTTGGGATGACAAGTAGGCACCACTGGCAACCAATATTGGGTTGAGAAGAGATCTACCTAACTTTATTGTCCAGGCTTCTCTTGAACTGCAATCCTCTCCCACGTAGCTAGAATTACAGGCACAAAACACAGTGCCCTAGTGATCTTATTATTTTTAAAGGCACTTCGTAATTCTTATATCTAGCTAAACAACTTGGTCATTAACATCATAGATTAAAAATCAATTTTTTTCAACTTTGGCTGAGTGGATCAAATAACTAATGGCTTGTTTAACTGAACAATTATCTTTGAAATTAGACTTTGTCTTCACATAAATGAAGACTAATAACTACAAACTTTATATTCTGCCATTTGAGATCAGTGATTATTTTGAAACATACCATAAAATACTGCCATAAAATTGGTCTCAAAATGAAAAATTGAAATACATTTTTCTAAGAAATATTTTGTCAGGTTTTATCATTTAAAACCATGACCGATTTCATTTAATTAATCTGTAAGTCTCATTTTCTTTTTAGATATTTCACTTATTGTGAAAGCCAATATCCTTAAACAAGATGGAATCGCAACTCGTTTCCACCTTTACTTACATGCCTCTTGTAACTCCCTTTATGAATCCTACACAGCAGGTATGAGTAGTTTTGTTTTTTTTTTATCTGTCTTTCATTAAAACTGGTTAAAAATGTTTTTGAATCTAGTATTAGTTTCTGTTTAGGAAGTGTATCATTTTATGAGTACTTACAGTAACTTCTTCTGTTTGTTTAAAAAATGACTAATGTAAATTGAAGTTCACAGCTATGCGTTCAATTTTGCAAAGGCTAAAACTATTGAATGTTAATAGCAATATCTTCTGTATATTAGAGTGGTTACTAAGAGTGAGTTCAGATTCCAAATTTAATCCTTTAATCTACTCAGGTGAAGTCCTATCTCGATATGTATGGTTTAAAAAAAAGATCACTAACTTTTCTAGAAATTAAAAAGGACAACAAAGATTATACTTTTACAAAGATGATGTTGGAAGTATCACAATGAAACTCATGATTTTTGTACAATTAATATTAAGTAATACATAAAGGTAAATGTTTTTTACATTCCCTACAAATGCTGAAATCAAAATTTGAATTTTTTTTTACTAGATGGAGAGTTACCAGGATGCCAGTAACACTCCACAAATTGTCACTTATCCAAAGAGATATAATAGATGGTCTTCTCGTCCACAATACTGGGTAAAACATGTTTGAATTCTATCTTTAGATAAGATATTTTTTTGTATTAAAGGAATTTTATTTTGGTGGGGAGGGATAGATAAGACAGTGGTCTTTTCACTTCAATACACCTCTTTTCTATGACCTTATAAAGTTTTATTTGAGTGGAGCAGAATTGTTCTTAGATATTGAATATCTAAATGCCCATTTATCTGCACATTATTAATGGTTCAAAATATTACTCAAAAGGATAATACTGATATTTTCATGAACTAAAACAAAAATATGTCATTAAAGAATTTCTTATTTCTAGATTATTTTGGTCCAAGTTAACCCTGGCGAGATTCTGACCATAAAAGGTGATGATGGAACTATTCAAAATATTCACGGTCAGTAAAAGTGTATCTTATTTTACATCAAAAGAGTGAGTTAATATATTAGTGTGAAATTAGTGAAACCCACTAGAGTTAGACTGAGTACTCTTAAAATAGCATAATCCTTATAAGAATCAATAAACAAAAAGGTCTCATCTTGCTAATCTTACTAGAAACCTTCAAAAATAAAATAGACAGATAGATAGATATAGATAGATACTATAGATAGTATAGATCAATACATAGATACAGATATAGATGAGAGAGACATATAGAGATAGAGATGGAGAAAATAGGAGAGATAGATGGAGATAGAGAAATAGCATATGCTATTGATAGAGGGATAAAGAGAGATAGAGATAGAAAGATAAAGTGCAAGAGAGACTTCAGTACAAGCATAAAATAGATAATAGATGAAGACATAGATGAGGGATAGATTGATACAAGAGAGAAAGATAGAGAAAAATAATAGAAAAATAGAGATAGTAAGAGAGATTGATACAGAGACAGAGATAGAAAGTGAAAGAGAGCTGGGCGCTGGTGGCTCACGCCTGTAATCCTAGCTACTCAGGAGGCTGAGATCTGAGGATCGCGGTTCAAAGCCAGCCCGGGCAAGAAAGACCGTGAGACTCCTATCTCCAATAAACCACCAGAAAACCGGAAGTGGCGCTGTAGCTCAAGTGGTAGAGCACTCGCCTTGAGCTGAAGAGCTGAGGGACAGTGCCCAGGCCCAGAGTTCAAGCCCCACGACCGACAAAAAAAAAAAAAAAAAGAAAGTGAAAGAGATACTACAGTACAGCACTAGGTAAAAAAATATAGAGAGATAAAGAAATAAATACATAGACTTTGAGAGGAAGAGAGATAAGGAGATAAAGGCATAAATAGATATATCAACCTAAGTATATAGATAAGAGGTAGAAAGACAGACACCAGGAGAGATAAGGTAGAGAACTAGAGAGATAAACAGAGACATGAATATAGATTCAGAGATAGGAAAATCAAAGATAAGTGAATAGATGAGAGATAGATGATAAAAGAGAGATATAGAGAGATGGAGTAATAGAAATAGAGAGCTATGGCATAGATAAAGAAATAGAGAGAAAGGGATGTACTACCAGCACTACATTGATCAATTGTTCAATAGATAGATAGAAAATAGATACATACATACATATAGAGAGAAATGGAGGCAGAGAGAAATAGACAGCAAAATGAGAGATACAGCAGTACCAACACTAAAAAAAAACAGAAGGAGTGAGATAGAGAATTATAGTGACACAAAGAGTGATAGAGAGCCAGAGAGAGAGATTTTGTGAGAGAGAGATGTAGTCATACAAGATAGATAAACAATAGAGGAAAAAGTGATACCCCAGTATAAGGAGAGACACATAGAGATAGGCAGAGAGATATAGATAGGTAGATAGATACATAGATGAAATATGGAAAATATAGAAACATAGGAAGAGATATATATAGAGAGAGAAATAGAGATAAAGAGATAGAGATTCACAGATAGACAAAAACAATAGATTAATAGATGAGAGATAGATGAAAGAGAGAGATAGATACACACACTCACACAGGAGTACACCAGTACCAGCACTAGATGGATAGATGAACACAAAGAAATAGAGAGATGGAGAGATGGAAAGATACAGCACAAAGTAGATAGAGACAGATAGATGGATAGACAGATAAGAAATAGGTGAGTGAGAGAGACAGACAGAGAAAGATAGAGATGGAGAAAACATATAAAAAGAGATAGAGATAAGAGAAATAGTATGCAGTACTGATAGATACAGAGATAGAAAGTATTGAAGACCTCAGTACCAGCACAAAATAGATAGATACATAGTTACATAGATGGAGACATAGATACAGGGATGGGTAGATGTGAGGGAGAGTTAAAGAGAGAAATAAAAAGATAAAGTGAACTGCAGAGATTGATTTATAGAGAAATAGACAAAAGAGAGACAGATAGAGATATACCACAGCAGAAGCACAAGATAAAGAGATAGAAAGCAAGATAGATACCCCAGTACCTGCACAAAATAGATAAAGATAGAGAAATAGAGATATAGAAACTAAGATAGATACAACAATACCAGCACACGCTAGATATTAGATAGATAGATGGAGAAGGAGATAAACACATTGAAAGATAGCCCAGTACAAGCACAAGATGATACACAGGTACATATATAAATAGATGGAGAACTACATAGAGATAATAAGAGAGAGGCATAGATTGATGAAAGAGATCAATGAAGGATAAAGAGAAATATTATAGAAAGCTAGAGAAATAAAGACATAAGCAGAAACTAAGATTCAGAGATAAAGAGATAAATAGAAGACAGATAAATAGGTAAGAGATGAAAGACAGATAAGATAGAAAGGATACATGGAGTAATAGAAAGAAATAGAGATAAACAGATGGAGAGAGAAAAATACAGAGATAAGATATACCAACACCAGCACTAGAGAGAGAGAGAGAGAGAGAGAGATGACAGTGTTGGAGAGTGATGCCTTAGTACCAGCACAAATTTGATGATAGACAGACAGACAGACAGACAGACACATAGATAGATAGATAGATGCATACTTGCATTGAAAGATAAATGCAGAGAATAGATGATAGATAGTTATAGATAGATGAGAGAAAGGAAGAGATACCCCAGTACCAACACTAGAGACAGAGTATGACAGAGAGGATAGTGATAGTAAAAGAGAGAAAGAATAAGAGAGAGAGCCTGAGGGATAAAGAAATATAAAGAGAGAAAGGGTAGTGTGATAGAATGATAGAGATAAAGAGATAGATAGATGTAGTCATACAAAATAGAGATTTAAAAAAAAACAGAAACTGATACCCAAGTACTAGCATAAAATACATAGATAGAGAGATTTATACATAGAGATTGCCCAGTACCAGTGCAAGATAGAGATGATAGATAGATAAATAGATAGATAGATAGATAGACAGACAGACAGACAGACAGAGATATTGAGATAGGAGAGGTGGATAGAGAAAGATATACTGAGACAGATACAGATAGAAATTGAGAAATATAGAGATAAACAGAGATAAATAGCAATTCAGAGATAGAAAACAATATAGATAGATGTGAGAAAAATGAGAGATAGATGAGAAAGGAGAAATGGAGAGAGAGATGAGTAATAGAAATTGAGAGATAGAGATAGGGTTCCCTTTTGGCCATATCCCCTCCAGCATCTGTTGATTATAGTCATTCTAATTGGGGTGAGGTGGAATCTCAATGATGTCTTGATTTTCATTTCTTTTATGGGTAGAGAACTTAGTAAATGGAAAGACTTAGAAAAAATTATATTAAGTGAAGTAAGCCAGGCCCAAAGAAACTTAGGTCCCATGGTTTCCCTTATTTGCAATAACTAGTATGTGTCTGAGTCAAGCAGAAAAGGTCAGATAAGTTGATGTTAGAGAAATGAACCCTACGATATATATTCAAATGTTTTTTCTTTCAGGTGATTGTTTCTAACACATTTATAAGATTATTTCTTTGTTGCTTTGTATGTCCCTCCCCCATGGTATAACCCTTGCTTTCACTGTATTTAATGTTGGTATAATTTGTGGAGGGGAAGGAAACAAATGGTTTAAATAGGGATACAGGTGGATCCATTGCAACAATGAGATGTACAAGTCGTTATGTGGAAAAACGACAGAAATATAAAGAGCAATAGAGAGTGAAACAGAGAGATACTAAGGTACCAGCACAAAATAGATAAAAAGATACATAAATACATAGATATGTATTGGAGACATAGATGTAAGTTAGAAAGATGAGAGACAGAGAGATAGGGAAAGAAAAAATACAGAGAGATAGGTGAATACATAGCGAAATAGAAAGATAGAAACAGAGAGGTTGGTAGAGACAAAATGCCCCAGTCGCAGAACAAAATAGACAGACAGAATAGAAAAGATAGTGAGATGAGAGATAGATAGGATAGATGAGAGAGTTGAGAGACAGAAAGATAGGTACAGCACAAAAGATAAAAAGATTGAGAGATAGAGACAGACTCAAAGATAGATAAGAGACATAAAGAAGACAGAGAGTGATAGAGAAATTGAGACAAAGATAGAGGGAGAAAGAGAGAGACAGAGGCTCCAGTAACAGCACAAAATAGATACATAGATACATAGATGGAGTCATAGCTGAGAGAATTCAAGAAATAGAGCTAGATTTAAAGAGAAATGGAGAAAAGGATAGGGAGGCAAATAAAATAGAGAATGAAAGAGATAGAACAGTATGAGCAAAAAGTAGGTACACAGATATACAGATACAGAAAAAGAAAGAGAAAGAGAGGTCAAGATAAATAGATATCCCAGTAACAGCACCAGATAGATACATACATGCATGCATATATGAATACATACATACAGAACAGCATAGACAAAGATACCCCAGTACCAAGACAAAACGGATAGGTAGATAGCTAGATAGCTAGATAGATAGATAGATAGATACATACATACATACATACATACATACATGGATAGATACTTATTGTAGATAGATATGACATAGACAAGAGATAGAGATAAAGAGAAATAGAGATTATATAGAAAAATAATAGGTGAGATTATTAGAGAAATACACACAGAGGGAGAAAGATAGAGATACCCCAGTAGCAAAACAAAATAGACAAATAGAAAGAGATTGATAAATGGATAACTAGAGAATTAGATAGAGAGATGAGAGATAGAAAGATGACAAAGAGAAAGAGAAGTAACCTAGTAGGGGCACAAAAATAGGTAGGGAGGGAGGGAGGGAGAGAGAAAAGGAGGTAGGTAGGTAGACTAATAGCTATACAGATACATAGGTACATAGATATATAAGTGGAGAGATCAATATATAGATAAACAAATAATGGATAGATAAAAAGTTATATGACACATGAGATATAGAAATGAGAGACAGGTACCCAAGGACAAAAGAAAGAGATAGGTCGATCGACAGATAGATAGATAGATAGATAGATAG